ACAAAGGATGTGGACTGAAAAGGGAAGGCTTTGTTGGCCGAAAACATCTAATGTCGCGATTGTCGTATATACATCTAATTTGTGTCATAATATACATAAACTTGTTCCCATATACTATCTATAGTGAAAACCATCATATTATGAAACTTTATATATAACATCCTTCTAGCCATCATACCTTATATCTAAATACTTACCTAAGATAGATCAAGTATCTCTAGCGCTACACTGAAACATAAAAGTGGCATTTATGCATTTCATAAGAGACCGTACGTAAGGCTCACACTCATAAACACGAATAACAAGTGTCTCATACGTGTAACATAGTAGATTGTTCGTACGGCTCATAATACTGGGGTTTGGCTATGCGTGCAACTGAGACTATCCATAAACAACTTTCATTATGCACATATGTGTTCACAGACCGTCCATAGGGCTTCATTGTACACCTACGCGTTCATAGACCGTATGTAGGGAGCATGTTTTATACATATTCATTCCATATCACTCATGCAGACATCATTCAATCTGCTATAGATAAACTTGTATTCATAACATACAAGTCTGTGAGTAACTTGTTACAATAATCAATCCTTATTCTTAGCCACTTGCTACGTCATCCTTTGTATTCTATATTATTTAGTCGTGAAGAATGTTGTAACTAATTTGGACTCGCACTTCTATCCTTATTTCACATCGCCACTCATTTATGGTGATTACATGATTCTGCCTACTAATAGATATGTAATATACTTAGCTTGCGAGGCTACTCGTTATACATATATATCGATTCATCAATACGTAACAATAGTTTCAGAATTTACGCTCTATCAACTTATATTCTTATTGCTAAGCTTATCATATTTTGTAGTTTATGACTCCTTAGGTAACATATATTATCTTATAAAATCACCCTCGTATATAATCAACCTTACTTAACTTAAGAGCAACATAACTACCTTCGTGGATCTTTATCAGTTTTATGAATACAAACGTGTAAATATTGGAAGTCATGGAGTTATTTAGGTCGAATCATTCTTATCTTTCTGCAAACTATATATTATGCTACCTTATTGAACTATTCATGTATAGCCATCCATCATTATACGGACACTATATTGCTTCTGATTCATTAGACCAATCGTACGTAATCTTTAATTGACATCTGGACGTTTTGTTACATATAGAAGACAAGGACCTTTCAGAAGGCTCTATTTATATGACTATACTCGTGAACAGACCTTAATCGTCGGAATAGTACGTGTACAAAGACGCGCCCCCTTGAATCCCTTATAACGGCAACGTAACTTACAGAATCATGCCAAAGAACAGAAAGAAAGACCTTACATACGTTATCACAATCTGTCCAATAACTATTTTGAACTCGTCTCGTCGCACTTTAATCTATAACAATGATAATAATGTTATCATTAAGATACGAAAGACGCAACTATCGCACAACGAACGACAAGCTTATTTAATATTAAAACGGGCAGCATCTCCCCTATAATCTTCCTCCCAAGTCAAGATAACACCAACAATACTAGAACACAACAATAACAACATATATACATCATTTTCACCATTATATCCATCACAAAATACCACAAAACATCCCAACATACCCCAATCACTTCATACATAAAACAACAACCATAATAATGTCAAACAACCCGAAAATATTACGAAGAACGACCAGCCACCATCCCTACATTATGTGGTGTTTCTTCACACCCTTTCGCCTCCCAAAGTCCATAAAACAGTAGCAAAACTGACAACCCAACAACAACACGAAACAACCCAAAAAACAGTCCACTGCAAGTTGAATAACTCGAACTCAAGGCTTTCGATCACCGTCCCGTAAGTTCTTACAATTATAGAACGAATTTTTATACTTTGCCAGTAGAAAAAATGAAAGAGGTCAGTATAATTACCTTATTTGGTGAATATCTCAGCTCCTAACTTGGTTCTTCAGCCCTTAGGTTTTCCTCCAACTAGAACTTGAAAAGAAGAGAAAATCATTTAGGGTTTTGTGTTGAATTTTTGAGAAAAGTTTGCAGGGGTTTATCTCTGATTTTTTGCTCTATAATGAGTGGAATATATGAAGTAAATTAGCCCTTAAAGGGCTCTTTTGCCGACCCCAACCATCCCCTTTTTGGACATATTTTGTCCTTTCATTTAAGCAAGTAGGTGATACACCTACTTGTCACCTATGCAGTCTGCGCAATCTGGAAAAAAATGCAAATATATCTCTACTCTGATGTTGTATTGATAAATAATTTAATGCGTTGGAAACTATACTTGTAGATATTCAATTTGGTAGGTGGATCATTCCGTAATTCAAAGTATATTGGGAGGAAAGTTCAGCTACATTTGACCTAAGTTTCAGAACATTTATGAATGTAACTTGTGATGACATTTACCAACTTTTGTTCCACAACTCGCTTGTCTTCAACACATAACACACGACTATTATACGACTAAAATAGCTCATAACATAACATCCTTATTATGTTAAAAACCTTAGTCTCACCCCAAAAGTACATGTTATAACATTCTCAACTTGTCGACTTTCGACGAAACTTATTTTTTTCAATTCGTTTAGCTTCTAAGCCTTCCAACCGTCTTGTTACTTGTTATTCATGATCTTAAATATTTGTAACCTGCACGGTAACATAATTAACTTACTTTATGTACTTTCAAAGATGATCTCATTTCTAAGCATACATCAATTGACTTGCGATGTACTCTTACGTACGAAAACATGGAGTGTAACACCAAATCGACGGGTAAACACAACAATGACTAGGTAATAGCAGCAAACAACATGAATCATATGATTTTCATTTTTTTTTATAGATACAATTGTTCGAACTCAAACCAGGAATTGGAGTTTGAAATTTCTCGATCTAACAAGGTTCAGCTTGGCAGGTTACATTTGTAGTCATAGATCCCTTACGCACAAGTAGTTTCAATCTTAAAATCTCAATTCAAAACTTTTGGTAGTAGTTATACGACCAGAACCAACCTAACAGTATATAACTTCAAGATTCACATTTCAAAACACCATTCAACAGCTAAAACATATGACTGACATACAACTTGCATACAATTTGTATACAAAATTGTTATTGCACACAACTTACAGACGACTTGCATATTATTATTATTACTATAATATGTATTATGTATGTCATTTGTATATATTTTGTATGATGTGTGCATGTCACTATATGTCCAATGATACATTGAACATACAAATAATATACAACTTAGCTTGCACATAAAAGATATACAACTTATAAATATAACATTGTTCTTGTTTGGCCTCTCCGAGTCTCCATTTAAAATTTCAACCAAAGCCAACTCTAATTTTCACCGAACTCCCTCAAAATTAAGATATAAACTGCAAACATTATTATCAATCGTTTGCAACAACATTCAATTCAAACAAATAATGATTTTGTAAAATTGGATTTTTAAATTTAAAAGTTTCGAAATTTTTTAATGGCTGTTAATGGAGTTTAAGCTCTTAACTAGATACATGATTGTTATGTTGTGAATAAGAACGAATTTCAATTCGGATCTTAAAAGTTCAACTGAGTTTACAAAGCAAAAAAGGGAATTCACTAGTCATTCACTCCGTTAACATAAGAACTATGCCTTTGGTCCTTAACAACTCTAGTTTTCTTTTCGTCCTGCATTTAACTCGCTGCTAATTTATAATCCCCAGTTCTAATAGTGTATTCAATTGTAATGGTGGAATTGGTATATTCAGTTTTGAGTGAAGGGGTTTGAATTTGAAAGAGGAAGAAGAGGAAGAGAAAGTGAGAAATATTGGAGCATAATATATTACTTTGTATACAATTGATATTTATGTATAGAAATGGTAATTATGTATAGAAGGAACCTCTATAAAAATAGTAAGTATGAAATATGTTTATAATTAAACATATATAGGTAACAATTCCAGAAACTTTTGACCAAACTGTTTCTTTCAACTTCAACTAAATCTTCAATTTAAGTACTGATACTGGAAGTTAAAATTTAAGGGATCGTTTAATATGATGGATAAGTAAAAATAATCCTAGGATCAAAATTTAGTACCGCTTTATTTCTTGTTTAGTTACTAATCCTGATTCCTGGGATAAATTATCCCAGAATTAAAAATAGTGCTGAGATAACTTATACCTGCTAGAGATGGAATAGTAATCCCAGGATAATTTATCCGAGGATAAAGCAGTAAAATTGACACCAGGATTAATACAACATACCAAACAGTCAATAAGAAATAATACCAAGATAACTAATCCCAACATAATCAATTTTAGTATAACTAATTCGAACATAACTGCTCTTAGCGAACTTGTCTTCAAATCAAATGACACCTAAAAGGAATATTTTATTTGGAAGTTAATATGTATGACCTTTAAGTATCCAACTTCTTTTACTATACGGAACATTATGTAAACACCATATATAGTAACTGACTTATGCTAAGATTTCTATACTTTGGAGATGTTTTACAGCTTAGCTAAGTATGGAAACTCTTCCGATCACTAGATAACGATAATAATTCATGTTTTGCAATTACCTTACTGGTATTCCTACTTTACACATGAAAGTGGAGGATTAAGAAACTTACAATCTGGAAGTCTTCTCTTTCATTATTTTCATGACATAAGAAACTTTTTTCATGTCTTTTCTAGATTCCCTAACCCAACACTTAAGACATGAAAATTCTTGATTATATTGAAGTCAAGTATAAACCCCCAGAATAAGCAACTCAAAAGAGACACCAAAGAGCTCAACCAGAATCTCGTCTCTTATTAAAAGTGCCCTTATGAATTACAATAGGTGCTAAGATATCCTAAAGGAGAAAGAATAACAAAAAGGCAGCAAAAGCTTCACTGCCACAGCTTGTAAAGTTCATTGCAAAATGTCCCTACAAATACCCCTCATATTATTCGTCATTCTCATCATCCAAATAGTTTCCCAAATATCCAACATTAAGGTTCTAACATACCTTGACTTAATTCCCAATGGTTCAAACAAGTTCAAGATCGTGCATAAAAAGTATTTATAATTTGGGGTTACTTAGTCTTTTGCTATTGATCCAAAACGGCAATACCTATGAGTTCAACGTTGGAGGTTCTGGAGATTGGAGTGTCCCTTTGGATTCCAATGCCAATAATTACAACCAGTGGGCTGAGAGGAGTCGATTCCAAATTGGTGATAGTTTATGTAAGTTCTCATAATTTATATTTTTTCCCATTTCTTCTCAAGTCAAATATTTGCTCCAATTGTTGTTCAAATGAGAGATTCATCCTTATGTCATACAATAGAAATATTTTTTGTGCCCGACAAGAAGTTTCGCTACCTTAAACGGTTATAGTAGGGGATTTGGTAGTTGACTCCCGTGTCATTAGGTCACCAACTTTCTTGACCTTTTGACAGTGTACAAGCATCAACCCCAATACATGGTCACACGACTTTGTCGAGACTTGTGCTTTGGGTTAACAAAATTCGGGACCCCCTTTAATAGTGAGGAGGCACCCCCTTTCCCAAAGTTACAGGACTATTTTACTGAGTTCCTTAAAGATAGTTGTTGTCTTGCATCCTTAGGTGTTAACAAGTTTGATTTTGACACCATTTATCATCTTAGGTTTGCAGTGTTTGTCTATCCGTCTGATAATGATTCAGTTCTTCTTGTAACCAAGGAAGACTATGCAAATTGCAGCATAGCGGCTCCAATTGAAAAATACAGTGATGGACATAATATTTTTAAGTTTAACCAATCTGGGCATTTCTATTTCATCAGTGGAGTTCACGAAAACTGTGTCAAGAATGAAAATTTACAAGTGGTGGTCATGGCCGATAGAAGCAATAACAATCAAACCGTCGCTTCGCCTTCACCTTCACCATCAACAGCAGAGGTTCCTCTAGCTCCTTCTCCTTTCGATGAAGGTGCCACATCTCCATCAACTGGTTCAGTAGACATCAATCCATCACCAACACCTTCTCAAGAATCTTCTCCTCCAAAGAATAGTGCTTCTTCAATTGTCATGAGTTTTGTTGGATCAGTTGGAGCCTTTATTGGTTCTTCCATTCTTCTAGGTCTCTGATGGTGAGGTTGTTGCACATCTTTGATTCTATTGATATTTGATTTTCAATATTTTGGTCATTGACACATATGTAAGACACACACACACACACACACACATATATATATGAAAGAAAGGATGAATAAACTGCTAATATTCATTTTGGATTTAACTTATAACTGTGTAAGAGTTTTACACCATCATTGTAATGTAACCTGTCGTAGCAAATTATCTGGCTTAATTTTTACGTTACTAGTTCTCCCATAGTTATCATATATTAGTTGCTTATAATCGGCTAACTCTAAAGTATACTTCCTGTCTGATCACTTTTGTATTGGTGGAAAATAAACCCACTATGTGGACCAATATTGCAAATACATGTGTCATGGAAGTTGAAATGATAAAGAAGAATGATGTGCGTAGAAGATATATGAACAACACTCACCGGATCACTTATAAAGATACCGTACATGTTAGTCTCAAAGTTAAATAGAAAAAAATAAGTATGGGACTGATAATCAAGATCATTAAAAGCCAAGGATAAGGAAAGGTCATTAATGATTACAAATATGGAAGGAATCAATCAAATCCATAATTATACGTGATTTGCTATTATTGCCTCAATCTTTACAAATCGCTCACGTACGGAAAATTAATGCAATAAATATTGGTAATAGAAAGGAGTTAAACAAGGCAAACCGTTATAAATTGTAATACTATTTAAATCTCATTTCCATAACTTGTATGTCCATCCAAAAATCTGCTAAATTATACTATCAATCATCAATATTCTTACTATTCTCTATTATTAGAAGAATCGTTATTTCCTACGGTGAAGAAAGGAGCAATCATCAATAATTTCTCAATGTGATTCTTTATTACTGTTATTCCTTTTTTCATATAAATTATATTCGAAAAAATAAAGTAAATTGGTTGTTAGAACCCTGAATTATTCTATTTACTTGTGTTAATTACAAAAACTATTTTTTGGTTAAACAAAATGGTTCCGTTATCGAGAATCTGACAATCGTTTCACTTTCCATTTACACATATTATCTTTAGCAATAAATTATGTTTGGAACTGATCAAATTGCTCAGCAGGGGAATAGACAAGCGGGATCTCCTCTTCACAATTCACCCACACATTCTCCACGACGCTCACGAGATAATTTACTAGTCAAATATGCTAATCGCAACACTGAGCAACAAAATAAAGAGCAATCAAGTCTATAAGATGATTTGAAGCAATTTATCGCCTAGTAGATTGGTGAAGCTTTACATGCCTTGACAGGTTGTGTAACGACCCGATCGGCCGTTTTGTGTAATTGCGTCCTATTTTCCCCTTTTTATGATTCACACATGTGTGCTTATACTTTTATGACTAACGAGGTTGATTAGTTTAGTTCCGAAAAGATTTCGGATTGAATTGGACCATTTAGCTCTTGGCTTAGAAGCCTAAGTTGTTAATGTTGACCAAACTTTGACTTTGGTGAAAATGACCCTGGAACGGTGTTTTATTGGCTCCCATAATTTTGTATTGTGATTTTAGACTTGGTCATATGCCCGCAATCAAATTCGGAGGTCCGTAAGTTAATTTTTGTTGTTTTGCCTAAAATTGGCAATTTGAGGTTTAGAAGTTTGACTGTAGGTTGACTTTTGGCTATCCGATTCGAAATTTGGTTTTGCGACTTGGAATAAGTCCATTACGCTATTTAGAACTTGTCTACATAATTTGGTATCAATCGGAGGTTATGTGATAGGATTCAGACGCTTGGTTGCAATTCTAGAAGTTCTTGAAATTTACTTTGAAATTCATACGTTTTGGTGTCCGATACATAGTTTTAGATGTTATTTTTGTATTTTGACCATGCGTGCAAGTTCGTATGATATTTTTAGACTTATGTGGATGTTCGTTTTGGAGCCCCGAGGGCTCAGATGAGTTTCGGACGTGTTTCGAAATATTTTGTACTGAAAACAAAAAATCGGGTGTGCCGGTGCTCTAATGTCACAATTGCGAGCATCGCAAATGTAATGCCTAATTCGCATTTGCAAGGTATGGGTATGGGTAGGAAACTTTGCATTTGCGATGAAACTGTCGCATTTGAGAATGGAACAGGGTTCGCATTTGCGAACCCAAAGTCGCATTTACGAGGTTCCACTTGAGTTTGTCAGTGCTGCAATTGCGAGAAATTCTTCGCAATTGCGAACCCAGTGTCGCAATTGCGATGTCTGCAACTGAACAAAAGATAGAAAAGTCGAGATTGAGGTGTCATTTCTGATATTTTAGAACCCTAGGCACGTTAGGAGGTGATTTGGATAGGGGATTTCCATCTACAAATATTGAGTAAGTGATTCTAATCAATTTTTAACTATTTCATGATTATGTCTTAGATTTATCAAATTTATGTGAATCAAAGAGGAAAATTGGAAATTTTTGTCCAGTTTTTGAAAAATAAGAATTTGAGTTGTGAGAGTCAAATTGGACTCGGATTTGAAAACTAATTATATATATAGACTCATGGGGTTATGGATAGTCGGAATCTACACTTGGACCCGGGTTTTGACTGGAGGGGCCCGAAGTTGATTTTTGTTGACTATTTGGGAATTTTGTAAAGATCAACATTTTATCAATTTTAATTGTTTTTCCTTGCATTCCTTGATGATATTAAGTACTTTTGGTTAGATTTGAGCCGTGTGGAGGCGAATTTTAGAGGGAAAGCTATTTTTGAGGGTTGAGTTGGCCTAGTTGAGGTAAGTATCTTGCGTAACTTTGTATAGGGGAACCACCCCTTAGGATTTGGGATTGATTGTGCTATCAGAATTATGTGAAAGCTGTGTATGCAAGGTGATGAGTAGTTACACGGGTTATATATGGTATTTGACCGGTTTAGCTTATTTAGACTCTTTCCATACCTATAATTAAAATGTCATAACATATTATATCCCTCATTGTTAATCAACTCTTACATGCGTTAATCTACCCTTACATGCTTTATTTGACATTGTTAACACTTGTTCTACCTCTTGTTATTTTGCTCTTATATGCTTAATTGAAGTTACTGCCTTCCTTATTGCCTTGTTACATCTTTAATTATTGAATTACTTTTATTTAAAGTTGTTATTTTGTGGAATATCTTCTTGTTGAGTTATTTGTGTTAAAGTTGTGAAAGTCGTTATCACATTGAGGCGAAGTTGTTAATTGCTGAGATATCTTTCTTGTTGAGCAATTCACATTCATTTTGATATCGTTGAGATTTTTGTGCACATTTTGGTTGAGCCACAGCTATTTGTTGTGGAATATTGATATTGTTAATTTCTTTGGAAATATTTTGTATATGGGCACTTGTGGTGCGAGTTGCGATTATGTTGTGATATTGATACGCATGTGGTGGTATAAAACTAGGGATTGATACGTGTGTTACTAGTAGGGAAACTACTTGAAGCCACGCGGTGTGATAAGGTGGGCTAAAATGCATGTACCTATATATTTCAAGAAAAATGATTTTCAAAACTAAATGTAAGGCTCTCGCGGTGATATAAGAAAAGATTGCAATTGAAATTGCAAAACATGAATACGAGACGGTACCTCAGTTGTGATTCTTGTTGTGCACTTCATATTGAAAAGAGTTGTTGGTTGAATCGTTCTTGTTGCTTTTATGTTTTCTTCATACCAGTTTTGTCCGTATTTGATTATTTGAGGTTCTCATTAGTTGCTTCCTTCTTTTGTATTTCTATTAGACTTCTAGTTATCATTCATTTTCTTTGTTTCTATTACTTCTCGTTATTATATTTTTGTTCTTTTTACTATGTCCTAGTAGGTGTCTTGACCTGGCCTCGTCACTACTCTACCGATGTTAGGCTTGATACTTACTAGGTACCGTTGTGGTATACTCATACTACTCTTCTGCACATTTTTTTGTGTAGATCCAGGTACGTCTCCTCGTGCTAGACGTTAGTGATTGACTTGTTAGCTGCCTTTCGGAGACTTCAAGGTATACCTGCTCGGCGTCCGCAAGCCTCGGAGTCACCTTAGGTTTTTAGATTTTCTACTGTTTATTTCTTGTCCCAAAACAATATTGTGTTACGGCACTATTAATACTTTCTTGTAGAGCTTATGACTTTGTTCCACCAGGTTTTGGGAAAGTGTTGGCTATTGTACTGTTGAGTTTTATTATAATAATGTAATGGTTTAATTTGAGATTTTAGTATTATTTTCCTATTTCTCTATGCATGTTAGGTTTACCTAGTCTTACAGACTAGGTGCAATCACGATATCCTAAGGTGAGAAATTGGGGCTGTGACAAGTTGGTATCAGAGCTCTAGGTTCATAGGTGCTACGAGTCAAAAGCAAGTTTAGTATAGGCTTGCGGATCGATACGGAGGCGTCTGTACTTATCTTCGAGAGGCTACGGAACTGTTAGGAAATTTTGCTTTCTATGATTTCTTATCGTGCGAATTTGTTGAATTTGAAGTCTGAATTGTTATCTTTCTATTTTCTCACAGATGGTGAGAACACGCATTGCTGGATCTGAAGATCTGATACTCGTGCCCCCTGCTAGAGCCGCGAGAGGCCGCGGCTGGGGCAGAGGCCGAGGAGGGGCACATGGTGCAGCTAGAGCACCTGCTCGAGCAGTGACTGAGGAGTCGCGAGTAGCTCCGGTTGGAGGAAAGGCACCCGAGGTTCCTATTGTCACCCTTGCACTTCAGGAGATCCTAGCATAGTTTTTGAGCATGTTCGGTACGCTAGCTCAGGCAGGGTTGATTCCACTTGCACCAGTCACATCTCACGCTGAGGGAGGAGCTCAAACTCCCGCGACCCGTATTCCCGAGCAGCGAGTCCATGTTGATCAGGTCCTGAAGGTTATGCCATCGCAACCTGTTATTCTGATTCAGCCCGAGGTTAGGGCAGTGGTATCTCAGGAGGAGGAGCTTACTCTTGAGAGGTTCAAGAAGTTTCATCCTCCTACTTACAATGACCTAGCTACAGAGGATGCACATGGTTTTCTAGAGAAGTGCCTCTGTATTCTCCGCACCATGGGTATTGTGGAGACGAGCGGAGTTTCTTTTACTACATTTCAGCTGTTAGGATCAGCATATAAGTGGTGGCAGGCTTACGAGGAGGGTAGCCCAGCCGATGCAGATTCCCTCATATGGACTCAGTTTTCAGAGATGTTCTTGAGAAAGTTTGTTCCCCAGACCCTTCAGGATGCATGACGCGCGGAGTTTGA